AACATAAATTGGAAATTCGCTCTGCGAATCCCTTGAAAGTGCTGTGGATCCTTACAAATTACAGTCAAGATTCCTATAGTACGGTTAATAGGGACCGCAAAATAGGAACCGACATTAACGAATACGCGTAGCATATGGAATTAGAGCTAATTGGGGACAAACACTTAGTGTAGGGTATTTTGAAGAGATAACTTCCTGATGTATTCTGACACGTTATCAACAAGATAAACAAGATAGATGACCTCCTTTTGGGACAATTTTGCATCTGAAAAGTCAGATGTCTGATCTTCTGGAAGATCCGGAACATCCATAAAAGTGGCCAATGCATGAAACTGATCCTAGAGCTCCGCGAATTTTTCAGAACTAATTCGGAGTTGTGACCGTAAAATGAATGCTGGAGACCACGGGATAGTTCATCGGAAGATCCTGAACATCCGTAAAAATGGCCAATTCATGAAACTGATCCTAGAGCTACGTTTTCGAAACCGCTCATAGACGTCTTACTTAAATTAATTCAGAATTTAGACGGGAATTTTGACTCTGGGAACTACAGGATGTACCGCCGGAAGATCCGGAACATCCGTAAAAATGATCAATAATGAAATTGATCCTAGAGCTCCGCGAATTTACCGAAACCATTCATAGACGTTTTATCAGCATGAATTCGGAGTTGTTTTCGGAATATGGACACTAGGGACTACGAGATGGTCTACTAGAAGATCTGGAACATCCGTAAAAGTGATCAATTTATGAAACTGATCCTGGATGGTTTTTTCGATACCACTCATAGACACCTTATCAGAATTAATTCGGAGTTGTGACCGGAAAATGAACCCTAGGGACCACGGGATGGTCCATCGGAAGATCCTGAACATCCGTAAAAGTGGTCAATTCATGAAACTGAACCTAGAACTCCGTGGTTGTTTTCGAAACCGCTCATAGACGTCTTACTGAAATTAATTCGGAGTTTTGACTGGAATTTTGACTCTGGTAACTACAGGATGGTCCGCCGGAAGATTTGGAACATCCGTAGAAGTGGTCAATTCATGAAATTGATGCTAGAGCTACGCGAATTTTTCGAAACCACTCATAGACGTTTTATCAGCATGAATTCGGAGTTGTGTTCGGAATATGGACACTGGGGACTTCGGGATGGTTTACTAAAAGATCTGGAACATCCGTAAAAGTGGACAATTCATGAAACTGATCCTAGAGCTCCGTGGTTTTTTTTTTCAAAACCAATCATAGACGCCTTATCACAATTAATTTGGAGTTATGACCTTCATTTGGACACGTTATCAACAAGAGAGATGACCTCCTTTTGGGACAATTTTGCATCTGGAAAGTCAGATGTCTGATCCACTGGAAGGTCCGGAACATCCATAAAAGTGGCCAATGCATGAAACTGATCCTAGAGCTCCGCGAATTTTTCGAAACCACTCGTAGACGCCTTATCAGAACTAATTCGGAGTTGTGACCGGAAAATGAAGCCGGGATAGTTCACCGAAAGATCCGGAACACCAGTAAAAGTGGTCAATTCGTGAAACTGATCCTAGAGCTCCATGGTTTTTTCAAAGTCACTAAAAAACGTTGTATCAGAGCTCTCATCGGAATATGGACCCTGAGAACCACTTAGTGATCGACCGAAAGATCTGGAACATCCGTAAAAGTGGTCAATTCATAAAACTAATACTAGAGCTCCATTTTTTTTTTTCAAAACCACTCATTAACGTTTTATCAGCCTGAATTCGGAGTTGTGATCGGAATATGGACCCTGGGGACCACGTAATGGTCGACCGAATGATCCGGAACATCCATAACGCTGGCAAATTAATGACACTGCAGACAATGAACATAGATGTCTTATCAGGATTAATTCGGAATTGTGATCGGAATATGAACCGGTCGATCCGGAACATCCGTTAAAGTGATGAATTTGTGAAATCGATCCTAGAGCTCCTCGTTTTTTTTTTCGAAACCACTCATAACCGTCTTACCAAACTGAATTCGAAGTTGTGACCAGAATATAGACATGGAGATCACGTGATTGTTCACCGCAAAATCCGGAACATCCTTAAAAGTAGTAAATTCATGAAACTGATCTTAAAAATCCGCGGTTTTTTCGAAACCTCTCATAAAAGTCTTATCATAATTAATGTGAAGTTAGGACCGGAATTCGGTCACTGGAAACCACGAGGTGGTCCACTAAAACATCCGGAACATCCTTAAAAGTGGTTAATTCATTAAACTGATCCTAGAGCTACGCAGTTTTTTTCGAAACCACTCATAGGCGTCTTATCAGAATTAATTCAAAGTTGCTGAAGGCCACTTTTTGATTAAATACAAGGTTATCAATGGTTCAATGCGCTGATGTCTTATGATCATGATCAAGCAGCTGCTCAGTAGGCAACATTGGTGTTTCTGGGGCGTTGAATAGGACACAAAAATCATTGCTACTATGTCAAACTGCAAAATACAGTGTTGCCTACAGAGCAGCTGCTTGATCATGTCATAAGCTAACCATTCTCTTAAATAATTAATAACTTTTTCCTGTCTCGTTTTGTTTAGGAACGATCTTCAGTAAATTGTAGCTGAGAATTTTTTTTATAAAAATAGCCATCGAACTTTTTCGCAGCTCAATATGGAAAAAGACTAGAAGGCAATGAACAAAAAGCTGAAATTTCCCATAGTAATTTCATGTAAACTTCAAACGGCTTGTGCGAAGTCTGTTTCTAACCAAATGAGTTGTAACTTTGGGAGGCTAATCAGGACCCGATTTGAAACCATTTAAGCACTGTGGAGCGAAAAACTCAAATTTTGCATCAGTCTAACTTAAATAAATGAAAGTAAATTTGGATGGGTGCTTTTGTATCACATACAATGATAGAAGAGCAATAGTTTGTATCGTTTAACTCGATTTGTTTACATTTGTTACTTAGGACCTATGGAAAAGTGACGCGAGCAATCGTAGGCGTTCATCCAGTCAACGTGAACTGCAGTACGCGGAACAAGAGAGGTTGTTGTGAGCTGCGGGGGACATGCTGTCAAATCAGCCTACTGATCATTCTTGTATGAAATTGGTTCCAAAGGTAAACAAACACTTGTATGGCTTGTTTACGTTTGGAAGCAGTTATGCGAGGTAGCCCGAGCAGGAGAAAATAACGAATGAATACCTAATTCTGATCTGATACCAAAATTACATAAGAGGTAAAATACCAAAGAATAATACCAAAAAAATACATGCAAAATACTTTGTAAATACCAAAATTTGATATTCGGATACCAAAAAAATACCTGGGTGGTATTGTTTTGGTATTGCATTATCAAATTTTGGTATTGGAATGGTATTGTGGGAACATTTTTTGATATTATTTTTTGGTATTTTACTTATTATGTCAGGCTCATCCATACCAATTTCAGGTGTCGAGATATTTGTTCCTGCTCGGGAGGCGACGATTGTTCGTATTTGACAGCCACCTCTCCCCCTTGGTTGTGAGTGATACACAGCCAGGCATGGAAAATCATTTGCATTCATTTCGTGCATTCATTTACATTCATTTGCCCCTAACTTTTTTCATCAACAGAATTCCGCAAAATGATGTCCGGAGTTTTTGTAAGTTTTACTATTAGCTACAACTTTTGTAAAGAACTCAAATCCGTGTCTCTTATGCATGACGAACCAGAGCAAACAGAATCCACTACTGTTTTTCAGTGAATGTATTTTACATTCACTGAAAAACAGTAACGAGTTCTGCCCGCTCTTATTCGTGATGCATAAGAGATACAGATTTAAGTTGTGGGCAAAAGTTGTAGCTAAAAACAAAACCTACTAAAGCTCTATACACCATTTTATGGAATGCTGTTGATGAAAAAAGATAGAGGTAAATGAATGTAAATGAATGCATGAAATGAATGTAAATGATTTTCCATGCCTGTACACAGCAGAATCCGTTTCTTTGAGTAGGTCGACCTGCCATCTGACATTTCATCGCTGCAATACCGAACTACGCGCATATTAGAGCATCTCCACCGTTGCAACAATCTATGGTCATTGTGCAAATCCAGAAAAAGGCTATCTGTTTCTTGTATGGTATCGTGTTCGCAGTTATAGTGCAATAGGCTCATGGATTATTGACACCCGGAAAAGTTTTCAACATATTGAAGTATGTTTGAAGCTGCAGTGTTCGAGAACAAACTGTGAACCAGAACAGAGGCGGAACTTGGTGAGATCTATCTGATTATAAATGATTTATTGATACCGCATTCAGCGAGAAACGTTCTATATGGCAACGGACGGAGGCTGCACTACTCTCATAATCTCATACAATGGTCTAGGACTTGTACCGCCTATGAATTTGTGAATTTACGTTTTTCTTGCCTGGAATACTGATGATCAAATTCCAAATGTGAATGCAAGAGGACTCACAAATGTTGTTTTAAATCAACACATTCCTAGGTACAACACCCTATTTTTTAGATATAATCAGAAGCAGTACATCAGCTCATTGATAATTCTCATTGCAAGATTTTTGTGAAAAAGCTCAAGCATCCAAAAAGCATGATTGTTGACCTGTTGGCTTTATAGCTCTGATATAGGCTAATATAAAGCTTACAAACTTTCTATTTGCCGTGAATCAGCTCTATATTACCGAAAGGAATATTATCGTGATTTTAGGTGCTCCTGGTAGGTTGCTTATACCTGTGTTTAAGATTAAATGTATGACCAGTGGTTGCACCGAAGATGATTGCAATGAAACGAAAGCTGTCAAATGACGTGCAAACCGTGCAAAACGCACAAAACATCACAGACAGACAAGACGAACATGCTCAATTCCAAAACAGCAAAATAAAATCGAAATCGAAACACTACATGCAAAAATGGATCAATGTGGTAAGATTGATGAAATGATCGAAGGACTGTGAAGCGGAGTAAATGGTGAAAAAAAGGCACTTAAATAGTCTTCTAAAACAAAGAAAGAACCTAAATCCTAATTCCTTACCTGCTGCTAATGATGTACGGCTGCATGCCGGTGGAGTCCCGCTCCAGCAGTGAGTGCTTGTCCTGGGCACCGATGGCCGTACCGATGACGCGCTTGACCGTTTCCATGACCGACTTGGAAGCGGACTGCGGTTCCGTCGTCGAGTTGTAGACCGACTGCGGGCCACCACCCATAAGCGACACATAACCCCCGTCCGATTGGGGCATCTTTTTTTTTATGTTTTCGGGTGTTTTTTTTTAAAGCATAAGCCATGAATTCATGATTCGGTCGGGATCAAGATTCGTTGTGCGCGAGGGCGCGTGTGAATGTAGTTTTTGCGTTGGTTTACAAGTTTTTTGGTTGTTTTTTTTTTATTCGATTAGTGGTGGTTGCAGAAACCAATTCAAAAACCAAGGCATAAGAAAAGAAAAGAGAGAAAATATAAAAATGAATAACGTTTTTTTGTGGGTGTGTGTTTTTCGAGTACCGAAAAATTCATTGCAAAAAAAGGAATTCGAAAAGGGAACCATAACCACAGGCAATCAAACAGAAAAAGCAATTAAAGGTGGATCCATTACCGGGGATGAGGAAGGAATTTAAGCCACGAAATTATAGCGTACCAAGAATTGCATGTTGGCGGTGTGTTATGTTGTGTTTTATGTATTGTTGTGTATTAAATAACGTGTGCGAGTGAAAGTACGAGTGTGGCATTTTCTCCTGCTCAGGTTACGATGAATTTGCAATTCAATTAGGTGCTCTATCAAAGCAATAATTGCTGGTTACTTTCAACTGGAAACTGGTTATCAAAGCGAGTACATGTGCATGTGTCTGTCGAGGCTCACATTCTACGTAGAACGACATTCGCCACTGGAAATAGGCTAGGACAACCACTAATCACGCACAAAGTCACGGTTAGTCTACACGCCATCGGGAGGACAAGTTTCTAACGAAGCAAGCAACACATATGCAAATTAAGTCAGTGTGTAACGAGAGCCTCCACTAGCAACTGTGTGTAGCTGAGCTTTTGATTCATCACCTTGTCGAGTCGTCTGAGTCGGTGATAAAATTCAATCAAGGAAATCATCTGGTCGTAAAATTACCCAGTGACCTGAAATATTGGGGTTCGCCTCTTATAGTCTCCCCACCAAATAAAAAAAAACAACATTTCAAATAACGTCTTGTTTCAGACCTTTGACAACTAAACGGCACACGTTGAGAAGTAACCTGTCCCAGCGTCATTATTTCCCATTAATGCGCGTCTACGGCAGAAATAGCTCGCAATAATCGTTTGCCCAAAGCGATAAAGCCACTGTAGAATTACTCCCCGGTGCGAGATTCGCGACAATCGTTGGAAAACTTCACACTTGCTACTACTGCTACTATTGCTACTAGCTTCTACAGAAACTACTTTTACGCCATTAGCCATCATCTGAGAGTCGCAGCTGCTACGGCGGCAACAGGAAACTTGTGTCGTTTACCTAAATTGGATCTAATTAGAGCTGATACGCCCGTGCTGTATACAACGCTACTGACGCTGTTCTATTCTAAGTCCACCGAAGCACTAGTCTAGATGTGTATCTGAGGTATTCGAGTTCCGTTGGTTTTCCATCCGGACCGGCACAGTTCTGTTGGATTATGGCAAATTACGGATCGCACACCGGTCCCAGATGAGTCACTTGCTGGACAAAACTTGAGCTGGGCGGTACGATCTGCTTTCCGTTGGTTGAATGGTGATAAATATAGGGTTAACAAGAATGACTCAAGTATGGAAGCATGCAGTTGCTTCTTGTTAACCTTGGGGTAACTTTTCAAGCGAATAAACTGCGTGGTTATGAAAAGCAAAAAAAGAGCTCTTGAGATGCAATTTACTCGAAATTGCATCTCTTCAATCCCCATTTTAAATTTACCTCATTTTCAACTCCCACCGCATCCACCAGTCCCAGGATGAATCATAAATACTGTACACAATTTTAATAATTTTCCACTTGACCATCCAGCGCTGCTGTATCGATGCAGTCGGACTTCTTTGTCCGTTATCATCCAGACGAATTTTATTGCGTATCATTTTCATCGCAATGTAAACAAAAGATGGAACAAATCCAGCTGAATCAAGTGGAAATTTCACGGAGAAACAAGTAACCAGACGTATTTTCTGCCATTCACTGTTGGCAATAAATTCTTACCCGTCGTCCAATATGGAGATCTCGAGGGTCAAAAAAAAAACACCACCACACATAACGGCGACGACCCTGTGTCTGGGGCTTCTGTTCGGCATCATCAACAATTGGTTGATGTTCTGCACAAGAATAAAGGGGGCAAAAAGCGGAGTGTGTTGGAAAAGTGAGTGCTCCATAATGATGTGGAGAAAAACGGGCGGAAAAAAAATGGACAAACTGTGTTCGGATCAATAGGCAATTACGGCCATTCAACAAACGGCCCATTGCGAAGCTAATGGACGACGACGGCACATGGATGGCGAAATGGATTGAACATGGGTAGCACGCTGCGGTGTTTCCAATGAGAATCGATATTTTTTGGGGTCGAGAAGGAAAGGTACCAGACTTTTCTCAAAATCTTGCGGAATCGAGGGGACGCGCGGTTGCTTGTTTTCAGAAACTAGCTTATGGATTGGATGTAATGTCCAGCCCAGGGCTGTGGAGTCGGAGTCGGACTTAAATGAAAAAATAATTTAAACTAGATTGCCCAAAAAGGCGGTCCATGAGGAACTTTTTTAGCTAATGACCAATTTGGTTGAAGTTAAATGTCTATCAAGAAAACTAACCTGAACCGTCTCATATTACAGACCTCATGCATTAGTATGTTTCATACTTTTTTTATGTTTCACATCTCATCGGCATGATGCAAGATTTTTAAGATTTTCCAAATACATATGGTATACCGCGCATAATTGAATAAAAATGTGAAGAAATTATTAAAAAATAAAAATAACTTCCCTGAAATGTATGAATATTGGTATTGCTATTTTAATTGAGGCCGAAAAAAAGGTTGAATTAACAATCAAACAAGTCAAAATTTAAAAAACGTTAATTTTTTTTATAAAGGCTTTGAACAGCCATTTAAAATAACAAACTTGTAGAGAGTTAATCCCCAATCTGTGTTACTTTTAAGCAGCTTTAGTTGTGTATAAAATTTCGTTAGATGTAGCAGAAACATTTGTTCAAATTTCTGCCCATTTTTGTTTCTAAATGAGATCAATCACGTTGAAAGTTGTGAATAATTGCGATAGAGGCCGCGGTTAATTTTGTTGAATATTGTGATCAATTTCATTCGAAGTTGTGGCCAATTTATTGTACAAATGTGACCAATGTTGTTTCATAAGGAATGTATCGGAAATAAGCTATCCACATACATTTGCGTTGTACGCACGTATTTGTGATAGTTTTAATATGCTAATCACTGCATCCTGTGCATTTGACTGTCATCTTTCGTTTGTTTACTTTTTTGTACGGTTCAAATTCTTCGTTTCCAAAATGTAGCGCATTAAAAATGAAGTGAAAATAAGGGTTTTGAACACATAGCTAAGTGAAAAGGGTGTAACTATGCGAAAATTGGCGAAGTGCTTTGGAATTCATCGCGCGAGTGTAAAATCCATCATAAACAAGTTTGGGGAACACTAGTGTCGGAAGTGGCAGACTACACGGGGGCGAATCTTAGTGAAGCAGTACTTGCAAGAAACCGCAACGATAAAAGGAAGGAGTTTGTTCACATGCACAACACTTCCTCCAAGGGTGAGACACCACAGGGTAATAAGGTGGCCAAGCCTTGCTGGATGTGTAAGAGGTTGGATCATAAGGTAAGGTTTTGCGACGATTTTAAAAAACTGAATGTTACGGAACGATTGAGGCTGGTAGAGAACCTGAAGCTGTGCGTATTGTGTTTAAACGCCCATGGGAAAAGCCGATGCAGCTTCAAGTTGCGCTGCAATGTGGGTGATTGTCAGGAGTACCACCACCCCCTTTTGCATCGTGCTCGGGAATCGGTTCAAGTGGTAGAATGCAATGCACATAACCGTTTAAATCGGTCGGTCATCTTTAGAATGGTACCAGTAACGCTCTCGGTGGGGGATTTGTCACTAGATACACTGGCGTTCCTCGATGAAGGCTCATCCGTGACATTAGTGGAGGACATCGTCGTAAACCATCTCCAGGTGAAAGGCGTTCCGGAACCGTTGATAGTATCGTGGACCGGGAATATGAAACGGTATGAAGACGGCTCCAGGCGGGTTAATTTGATGCTAGCGGCGAGAGGTTCTAGTCAGAAGTTGCTGATACAAGGGGCACGTACAGTGTCCGAATTAGTTCTGCCAAAACAAGATGTGCGATTCCAGGATATCACCGAGCGCTATCCCCACCTGCGTGATTTGCCCATAATGGAATCGGGACCCGACGAGCCGAAAATCATGATTGGTTTGGATAATCTGCACATCTTTGCACCACTGGAGTCGAGGATAGGTCAACCTGGAGAACCGATCGGAGTCAGGACAAAGTTGGGGTGGACAATTTACGGTCCTGAAAAGCTGATTAGGATGGAGGATGCTCGTGTAAACTTTCACACTACCTGTTCCGTGACCAACCAAGAGCTGCATGATATAATTCGTGTGCAGTACAGTCTCGAAGAAATGGGTGTCCCGGCCTCCGCTGTTCCAGAATCCAACGAAGATCGTCGGGCGCGAGAAATCCTACGAACGACTACAACTCGTGTCGGTGACCAGTTTGAGACAGGTTTGCTCTGGCGACGTGATGCAAGAAGCTTTCCTGACAGCTACGGAATGGCGAAACGACGATTGATAGGTTTAGAGCGAAAGTTGGCAAAGGATCCTCAGCTGCAGGAGGTTGTAAGGCGCCAAATTAAGGAATATCAAATGAAGAAGTATGCGCACATAGCTACGCAAGAGGAGCTGGCCAAATCCGATCCAGCCACAGTATGGTATCTACCACTAAATGTGGTTAAACATCCCCACAAGCCTGAAAAGGTACGCCTCGTGTGGGACGCTGCAGCGAGAGTCCAAGGTGTTTCGCTGAACTCGGAGTTGCTCAAGGGTCCTGACATGCTGTCTCCGCTTCCGTCCGTACTCAGTCCTTTCCGAGAGCGCCGTGTTGGATTTGGTGGTGACGTGAAAGAAATGTACCACCAATTAAGGATACGGAAGGAAGACAAACAGGCTCAACGCTTTCTTTTCTTTACCGAACCGGGAGACTCTGAGCCG